TCTATAAGGCAATTGCTAGCCATTATTTACATGGTGAAGAACACCGTCGTCGTTCAAGTCAACAGTGAAAGAACACTATGCATTTTGCATGCAGAGTTTGGAGACGAGTCACACACCATTCTGGGAATTCTGATGATACAATTCCCAGGGAATAATTTCTTCATATCTAACTCCAGGACAGCTTCCTCCTAGAAATGTAATGCTAAATTTTCAGATTAGTTGAGAATTACAGAAAATAGACAACTGGCATAGTTGTGAGAATAAGTTGTACTTCATAATCCCTTAAGAAATTACTGGAAATCAAAGTGGATCAAGGAGCTAGATATCAAATCAGAGACTCTGCATCTGATAGAAGAAAAAGTTGGCTCCGATCTACATATTGTGGGGTCGGGCTCCAAATTCCTTAATAGGACACCCATAGCACAAGAGTCAATAACAAGAATCAACAAATGGGACTTACTTAAACTGAAAAGTTTTTTCTCAGCAAGAGAAACAATAAGAGAGGTAAATAGGCAGCCTACATCATGGGAACAAATTTTTACTCCTCACACTTCAGATAGAGCCCTAATATCCAGAGTATACAAAGAACTCAAAAAATTAAACAATAAGAAAACAAATAACCCAATCAACAAATGGGCCAAAGACCTGAACAGACACTACTCAGAGGAGGACATACAATCAATCAACAAGTACATGAAAAAATGCTCACCATCACTGGCAGTCAGAGAAACGCAAATCAAAACCACCCTAAGATACCATCTCACTCCAGTAAGATTGGCAGCCGTTATGAAGTCAAACAACAACAGGTGCTCGAGAGGATGTGGGGAAAAGGGTACTCTTGTACATTGCTGGTGGGACTGCAAACTGGTGCGGCCAATTTGAAAAGCAGTATGGAGATTCCTGGGAAAGCTGGGAATGGAACTCCGCTGTATACCCATCTGGTCCAGGGCTTTTTTTGGTTGGTAGTCTTTTGATGGCTTCTTCTATTTCTTCCTTTGTTATTGGTCTGTTTAAATTGTGTGTGTCTTCCTGACTCAATCTGGGCAGCTCATATGACTTAAGAAATTTATCGATGTCTTCACTGTCTTCTATTTTATTAGAATATAGGGTTTCAAAATACTTTCTAATTATCTTCTGTATTTCTGTAGTGTCTGTTGTGATATTGCCTTTTTCATCCCGTATGTTAGTGATTTGAGTTTTCTCTGTTCTTCTCTTCGTTAGCATGGCTGAGAGTCTGTCGATCTTATTTATTTTTTCAAAGAACCAACTTTTAGTTTTATCAATTTTTTCAATGGTTTTTTTTGTTTCAATTTCATTGATTTCCGCTCTGATTTTAATTATTTCTTGTCTTCTGCTATATTTGCTGTTGTTTTGCTCTTCCTTTTCTAGGGTTTTGAGATGTAGTGTGAGTTCGTTTATTTGTTGGTTTTTTCTTTTTTTGAGGAATGAACTCCAGGAAATGAATTTCCTTCTTAAAACTGCTTTCATTGTGTCCCATAGATTCCGGTATGTTGTGTCTGAATTGTCGTTTATCTCTAAGAATTTTTTGATTTCCTCCTTTATGTCTTCTGTAACCCATTGATCATTCAGTAACATATTGTTTATTTTCCATGTGATGCAGGATTTTTCCTTCCTTCTTTTTTCATTGATTTCCAGTTTCATTCCATTATGATCAGATATGGTGCATGGTATTATCTCCACTCCTTTATATTTACTAAGAGTTGCCCTATGGCATAATATATGATCTATCTTTGAGTAAGATCCATGTGCTGCTGAGAAGAACGTGTATCCACTTGATGATGGTTGATATATTCTATATATGTCGGTTAAGTCTAGGTTATTGATTGTGTCATTGAGTTCTATAGTTTCTTTATTCAGCTTTTGTCTGGAGGATCTGTCTAATGGTGAGAGCGGTGTGTTGAAGTCACCCATAATTATTGTGTTGTGGTCTATTTGACTCTTGAACTTGAGGAGAGTTTGTTTTATGAACATTGCCGCACCATTGTTTGGTGCATACAAATTGATAATTGTTATGTCTTGTTGGTGGATGGTTACTTTTAACAGGATATAGTGTCCTTCTTTATCCCTTTTGATTAACTTAGGTTTGAAGTTGATTTTATTCGATATGAGTATGGCCACTCCTGCTTGCTTCCGAGGGCCATGTGAGTGGTATGATTTTTCCCAACCTTTCACCTTCAGCCTGTGTATGTCTTTTCCTATCATATGAGTCTCCTGAAGGCAGCATATTGTTGGATTTGTTTTTTTGATCCAGGTTACCAGCCTGTGTCTCTTGATTGGTGAGTTTAGTCCATTAACATTTAAGGTTACAATTGAAATATGATTTGTACTTCCAGTCATGTTTATTTATTTATTTATTTTAGTTTGGCTAGTTTTTACTTTTTGGTTGTTTTCCTCCCCCTTTACTGAGATACCTCCCGCTGTTGGTTTTGGGCACTGTTTTTCCATTCCTCTTCTTGTAGAATTTTGCCCAAAATGCTTTGCAGTGCTGGTTTTCTGGCTGCGAAATCTTTTAGCTTTTGTTTATCGTGAAAGATTTTAATTTCATTGTCAAATCTGAAGCTTAATTTTGCTGGGTACAGTATTCTTGGTTGGAATCCATTATTTTTCAGCGTTTGAAATACATTGTTCCAGGATCTTCTCGCTTTCAAAGTCTGTGATGAAAAATCAGTAATTGGTTTACCCCTGAATGTAATCTGCCTCCTTTCCCTCGTAGCTTTTAATATTCTCTCCTTGTTCTGTATGTTGGCTATCTTCATAATTATATGTCTTGGAGTTGGCCTATTACAGTTTTGGATGTTTGGGGTCCTGTAGGCTTCCAGGATTTGGCAATCCATTCCATCTTTCATCTCTGGGAAGTTTTCTAGGATTATTTCATTCAATAGGTTGTCCATTCCTTTGGCTTGAATCTCTGTGCCTTCTTCTATCCCAATGACTCTCAAATTTGGTTTTTTGATGAGATCCCATATCTCTTGGATAGATTGCTTGTGAGATTTAAGCATCTTTTCAGTATTGACTATATTCTTTTCAAGTTGATAAACTTTGTCTTCATTATCTGATGTTCTGACTTCTACTTGATCTAGTCTATTTGTAATATTCTCGTTAGCATTTTTAATCTGGTTTATGGTTTCTTGCATTTCTAAAATCACTGTTTGGTTTTTTTTTAAGATCTCTATCTCCTGGTAAAGCTCGTTCTTTGCAGTTTGAATTTGTTTGTTTAGTTGGTTTTCAAAATATACTTTCAATTCTTGGATTTGCTGTCTCATGTCTTCTCTAAAATTCCGTTCCATCTGAGTTAGGTATGCCTTGATTTCTTTCCCTGTCCATATTTCTGATGCTTCTAGGTCCTCCTGTAGATTTAAGTTGTCCTGCATTATCTGTACTCCTTTTTTCCCTGGTTTTTTCATGTTGTTCACGTTACTTTCCAGCTCTGTTTGACTGCTTTGTACCTGCTTTCTCCTATACATTTGTTTTGGCTTTGTTTATATCTGTTGTCTCTCCTTTGTGGTGGGAGATTATGCCTATAGATGTTGGGCTTTATTGTACTTTAGAGCTGATTCATTCAATTTATAAAGGGCTTCTGGATTTTGTATGCATATAGTGATTTGTTTTTTGTTCTTAGGACTTTAGGTTAGGTGCTATGAAGGTATAAGGGTTAGTATGTCTTGGATACTTTAGAAGATTGCTCTACTGAAGGGGGATGCTAACCGTCAATTGGATCAGGGTGTTGGTAGTAGCTAGGTATTTAGGAGCACTATAGACGGCCTCGAAACATTCACCTGTTTGCATTTAGACAGTTACACGAAATGGAGGACGTAATGCTTGGGATGAAAGTTGGGGGGAAGGGGAAGGAAGGTGCTCTTGAAAAGAAAGAAGGAGGGGGAGTTAGATAGCATAGAGGAGAATGGAAAGAACAATAAAACTTGGAACGGGAGAGAAAAAATAAAATAAAATAAGAAATAAAATTAGGTCTTAGAGATCCATTTTCTTCTCTTCCCGTAGGCAAAGCTGTGCCCTCCAGGCTGAGATTTGCCCTCAATGTGTCGACAGCAATCCCTGTAAGGCGGCTCCTGGGAGTCTCTCAATCCTGTTGGTCCAGAGCCATTTCACTTCTACAGCCCCTCCTCCCCTTCCTCCTGCCAGCCAGCCAGGTGCTGTGCACCGGAGGAGGTTCTCCAAGGATTTGGTTATACTTTCAGCCCCTCTGGGTGCTCTATTTCCCTAACAACTGAGCACTCTCTCTGTCATTCATCTAAGCCCCAGTGCTGTGGAGCTGTGTTCTGGGAGTCAATAGTTTAATTTTTCTGGACCCCTTTGGTGGGCACACCTTCGGGGTCTGGCGGCTAAGACCATTGGTGTCGCCACTGGTGGTAATGGGAGGTAATGGGGGTCGAGGATCCCATCTGCTTCCCTCAGCCCCTACAATCACGACCACTCCGCTGGCGGTAGGAGGAGTTGGGGGTCTGGAGTGTCCTCTGTTTCCCTCCGCCCCTACTGTCACGCCCTCTCAGTTGGCAGTTGGGGGAGTTGGGGGTGGGGAGTCTTCTCTGCTTCCCTCCGCCCCTACAGTCACGCCCACGTCACTGGCAGTATTGGGAGTTGGGGGTCGAGAGTCCTTTGGCCCTTACAGTCACGCCCACGGAGAGATTTTGAAGTTTCCCGGTTGTTTGTATCTGATGCGGGTGGGAGTCACACACCTGCTAAAGTAGATTCCGCTGGGAAGGAATCTCTTTGGCCGAACTTTGGTGACTTCCCCTCTCTGCTATGGCGGGCCCCTGCCTCCTTGCTGGAGTGTCCGAAGGGAGGGGTGGAACTGGCTTGTCTCTGGTCTGACCCAATCTCTGGTTTTAGTTCCCAGTTCGCTATTTCATAAAGGCTTGGTTAGATTTCCTTCATGTCATCTCAGGGGGGGGAGCCGTTTGCCGGGTGGGCGGGGCCGTTCGCAGTGGGGGCGGGGCCGTTAGCAGAGCTGGGAGGGCACAGGCGGTCTGCCGGGCGGGGACCCTTCTCACTGTGCAGGGCCGCTGGGGGCCGCCTGCAGAGCCTGGGGCGCTGGCCGCAGGCCTGTTTGCCAGGTGGGCGGGGCCGTTTGCAGAGCCAGTCGGGCAGGGGGCTGTTAGCCGTGCGGGCGGGGCGTTAGCAGAGCCGGGAGGGCACAGGCCATCTGCCAGGCCAGGCGGGGGACCCTTCTCGCTGCGCGGGCCGCCGGGGACCGCCTGCAGAGCCGAGCCTGCGCTGGCCGGGGGCGGAGCCACCAACAGAGCCAGGAGGGCAGGGGGGCCGTTTGCCGGGTGGGCGGGGCCGTTAGCAGAGCCAGGAGGGCGCAGGCCGTTTGCCAGGCCAGGCGGGGACCCTTCTCGCTGCGCCGGCCGCCGGGGGCGCTTGTAGAACCCGGTAGGCAGCAGCCTCGTGGCTAAGAGCCGGGCGGGCGGGGTGGCCGATCACAGAGGGAGCGGGGCTGCCAGGAGAGCCAGGATGGCGGGGGCCCTTCTCGCTGCCCCGGGCCGCCGGGGGCCGCTTGTAGAGCCGGTTGGGCGGTGGCTGCGGGATTGGACCTCTGCGCCCACGTGGCCGGCCAAGATTCACTTGTCTGGGGCCAACTGTCACCTCTAATATAACTTACTAATTCCTGGCAGGTCTCCTTTCAGCGGAATTTTGCTAGAAGTTCCTCAGTAGGTAGAATGTAGCTGTTTTAATGGGTGTTTCTGATCCGGTTAATGTGGAGATACTGAAAGTGCTGCTTCCTTGCCGGCCGCCATGTTGGATCCCAAGAAATTACAAGTTTGAGTCTAATCACAGTTTAATACGCAAACTTCACTCAAAATATTAAATACTTTGTGTTCAAGTCTAGTCGGAAGAAATACTAGACTAGGAAAAGATTAATATAACGAAGTGCTGACCAGTTCAAGTGGTTAAAAAGGACAAAAATGGTTTCAAAGCAGACTGCATCTGTAGGTAGAAGCCACTACTTTTATGAAGGAGAGTATTCAGAGAGGGAGCTGAGCAAGTCCAAGAGCTGTGGCTCCCAAGGCCAAGATTCTGGTTTTGGATACATGTCTCTGGGCTGCTGAAAGCTTCATTGGCCTGACTTGGGGCAGCTTATCCACCATGAGCCACCCGTTGAAGTTAGTATACTGGAGCTGGTCCAAGAGAAGCTGACTGCCAGCATGCCCAAGAAACCTGTTGAAGAGTGAGTGCCACTGAGCATCCCAAACACAGAGGAAGCAAAGTACATTGCAGCCAGGAAGACAAGACCTTTTCTCTGCCATACCTTCCCACTTCTCTCCAGTGTCCTCTATTGACAAAGCCCAACACTGCACCACCTGGCAAGGGAGAACTGTTTAGTTGGTGTAGCTGAGATAATAAAGCAAAGCAGAGTGAATTTGGAGCTGAATATAAGACAATAACTTACACAGGCATTTTTCACTCACAACCCAATAGGGCACACACCCCCACTGAAAAACACTGAAATAGATACTGAGTTTTATTTATTTTGTTGTTGTTTTTTAAAATTCTGATTATCGTGTAATAATTGTACATATTAATGGTATACAGTGTAATATTTCAATACACGCATACAAGCCTGCATTGCATTTCCAATCCGCCTCTCTGTATAACTTCTTTCTGTTGGAGCCTCCAGCCCCTTTGTTCTAGATCTTCATAGAATATATAATTGGTTATAGTGAACTAGAGTCACTTAGAGTCCCACAGAACCCCAGGAAGTGTGTCGTCTCACATCTATCACCATGTTTCATCCTTTCATCCTCACACAGGGAGTTAGTATTGGTCTAGACACCACTCCATTTTTAGGAAAGCAAGGCAGAAGGTATTTTATTATCTATCATTGTTAGTTTAGCTACCAACCACAACAGAACTTGTCTCTTGTAAAGTCCAGTGGGCTTCCTGTAAGGTATTTTACATTCTGAAGTGAAGAATTATAGCATAAATGCTTCTTGGTTCTTTCAAGAAGTCAACGCTTTAAAAACACTTGGCAACTTACTACATGTCATCTTATTTCAGATAAGAGAATGATCACCTTGCATTGAGTTTACATGTCCATAACACATTTGAAAAGGACATGAGCAAGATCTCATTTGCATGGGAATAATCCTATGCCCGACTTTTGAGATTCCAGTTTTAACCACATAGTTTCTAAAGTCTCACCATGATGAACTAGAACCAACTACTATTCTCTTTTGCTGGAACTCAGTTTCTTCTGTTAAAAGTAAGGAGTATTTCCTTTTGTTTATCCCAAACTTCCTCATAATTTTCTAATTTTGGAGCATCAATGATCAGAGTTTGCCAATATGATTTGGAACAAAGAATTTCATTGGCAATCGTTCTGCTCACTTTTTCAAACTGTATGATCCCATCATTTACAGTTAAAAAATGGGGATACACCTGACTTTTAAGATCCAACCTTATTTTGTATCCTAGACTCATACCCTACATTTCACTTCTTAAATTAATAAAAATATTCTATGGTTTAATTTCTATTGGTTTCTTTGCAAATTCTCACAGTAAAATGCTCCCACACCATCACTTCTCCTCTTGAAAGGCTATTTGAACCTCCTCATCCATCCCAGAGCCCATATTATTTAGGAAGCATTTCAAGAACTTTTCAATTGGGCTTTTTTTTTAATCCTTCTTGATATTGGGGATTGAACCCAAGGATGCTTAACTACTGAGCACATACCCATCCCTTTTTATTTTGAGACAGTGTGTTACTACTAAGTGGTTTATAGCCTTGCTAAGTTGCTAAGACTGGCTTTGAACCTGTGATCCTCCCGTCTCAGCCTTCAGAGATGCTAGAATCACAAGTGTGCTCCACTGTGCCCATCTTGGGCCATGTCTTTGGTATTCTATCACAATGCTTTCAAGATTCTCATAGTACTAATCATTCAGTTGTGGGTGGATGGGAATTATCTAATTAAATATCTTCCCATGAGCATGAAAACAGCAGCAATACAATACTAATATTTCCATCTATACAATTTGATATCAAAATGAACCAAATCACACCCCTCCCCTACTTCTTACAACTTGGTTATTCCTATATTTTGCACTTCATAAAGCTTTAAGCTTTATGAAGCATTATTTGTGATTATATATGTCCTAAAACTGTCAATGTTTGATCAGATGTTATCCAATCTGGATGTCAAATAATTTATTTTCAGATGGATTATAGCATCCTTGGCTAAAGTCTCTGCATTTCTGGATCGAAGTGTTACTAGCACTATAATATCCAAGTGTCATTTCTGGTCTGGAAATGCTTCACTTCAGTCACAAATGAGTATTTTCAAAGGCGATTAACTGTGTCACCTTAATAGATGAGGCCTCTCTTCCTGCCTGCCTTCACAGGGCTGCTCACCTAGAAGAAATGTTGCTTTATAAAGAAATGAAAAGGTAAAGGGGACAATCTGGTAGAGAAATGAATGAAGCAGACCATTAGCCTACTCAGTGTTCAAAGCATGGGTTTTGAGATGAGGATCAGCAATTTGGCATTTATGATATTTAACGACCTAAAAATTGAATTAGAACCAAATGCTTTTTCCTTAGTGACTCGGCAATTTCTCAAGTGACAAAATGGAAAAACAAAACCCAAAGCCACTTGAAAAATCTCCCCGTGCTGAATACTAACCAGAATGGTTATTCTATACAGTATTTCTATTAATCAAATGTACCATGAAGTTTAAGATACATGTGATATCATTAAGTAGAACATGTTTTTCCTCGTCATAAAATTTATTAGAAGTAATAGAAGTATGATAAGACAGAAGACCAGAACAATTTAATATCAAAGCATTCACAAGAAAGGTATCAGATGATTTTTATGGGGAACTCTCAATTTGGGATACACTTTCAGAGCTCTCATGCCTTAAGGCAAAGGAACCAGGCATGTTTACCCTCAGATTGGCCAATCAGTCAACATGGAGTGTCCCTAGGGAATGGAGACAGATGCTGGTAAAGATGACTCTTTTTGTCTGAGTACAAATGCCCAGGAAAATTTCAACTGTCAGTTGACAACACCCCAGGTAGTTGGGAGAATGTGCGCTTCATATCTGAAGCGTAATCTGAGCATACATCACAGCAACTATTAGACTTTCTTGTACTGTTCTTCATGTCTTTTCTGATGACCTTTAGTGTTGTACAGATACCTTAAAAAAATCAGAGTCCATTTGCAATTCCAATATTTCTGCTCTTGGACAAATCACCTAACATCTGTAGTCATTGATATTTCTATGTTGTAATATGGAAATATTAATATCTTCCCTAATTTATTTCTCAATATATTGATGAAGAGAAAGTAAAATACATGGAACAAAGATTTAAAAACTGTAAGATGATCTAAAAAAAATGACTCATATAAATTCCTACTCTTGCTCAAGTCTGAATTCACGCCTGTACCTAATGTTCATGCTACATAGCATTGAAAGTTGCTATTTCCATGAAATTTGATAAATAATATTTTCCTTGAAAAGGAAGAATGTAATATCAGATGAGAAGTCATGTTTTCACCTGCTAATGAGTGTCAGCATGTATTTTACTTCTAATGTATCAGACACAAAAACAAGTGGAAGATATATAATAAAGGACATAACCCATTAAAATATTTTTGCTGGCAATCAACCAACAGATAACAGCTTCCATCTTATCCTTGGGAAACCCCTAAAAACCACCCTCTAGGAAATTACCAGCCAAGGTACTCTGAGACATAGAACAAGTAAGAAAAATAGAACTCTTTTTCCTTGACTTAGAGGTAAAATAAAACAAATGACTTCTTCCTATTGTCTCCAGATAAGAGAAAGAAAGAAAGTGTATAGAGGAAGAGAGGGAGGGAAGGTGAGGAAGGAAGGAGAGGGTTATCAAGTTACACAAAGATGTCAGAGATGACTCAGAACTCAGATCACCCACAAAACTTGGGTAGAATGTCAGCAAAGCAGATGGAATGACTTCTAAAATATATTCAGATAGCTCAGCCATTTATTTAATCTGTTTTAATGATATAAATACTTTTTTTTAAGTCTTAGGCTCTTAGATTTTTATTGGTTTAAGAAATCAAGTTATATCATTTTAAAATCTGCTTCCAGGAGGAACTATTTAATAAATACTCTCAAGACTGACTGGATTTAAAATTTCAGTGAGGAATGAATGTGTTGATGCTGTTTATAGTAATCTCTGAGTAGTCTGCTTTAAGACTGGCTGTACCTTGGGCATGGCGGTGCACACCTGTAATACCAGTGGCCCTGAAGGACTGCCAATCCAAAGCAGCCTCAGCAACAGCAAGGCACTAAGCAACTCAGTGAGACCCTGTCTCTACATAAATTACCAAATACGGTTGGGGATATGGCTCAGTGGTTGAGTGCCCTTGAGTTCAATCTCCGGTACCCACCCCTCCAAAAAAAAAAAAGACTGGCTGTTCCAATGAAGTAAGCTTTTGTTGACATATCAGCTAGCCATCTTTTGACAGTTAGGGGGAACTAGCCTGAGGAATATAGTGATTTCTACAGCATGGCAGGGCAGGATGATGGAAAAACATACTTTAATTCCAACACCAAACTTTTTACTATGAGATGTGATTTTTTTTCTTTTATTTTTAATTTGTTATTTTGTGGTCCATTATTTCACCTGAATACATACACAAAGGTAAAGGAATGAATTTAGGATCAATTTGTAATGATATTTAAGCAGAAATTGCATTGAACATAATACATCAAAAACAAAACAAACTTGTGCTAGAGATTTTACTGTATTAATTCTGTTTTGTTGTTGTTGTTGTTTGTACTAATCACAGTCTCTCCCCATAGATAAAATAACTGCCATATGTTTCCCTGTATGATTTTGAGACAGATAAATTATGGCAAATGCTAAAATCTGAATGACTGTGTCCCCCTTAAATTTACATGTTCAAGACCTAATCACTAATGTGAACGCGTTAGAAGACAAGACCTTTGGCGTATGATTAGATCATAAGGGTAGAACCTCATGAAGGGGACGACTGTTCTTATAGGGAGCTTCCTGGTCAGTGCACTGTGCACAGATGCGGCAAGAAGACACCACCACTGAGCCAGAAAACTAACCCTCACCAGACACTGAACCTACCGGAAGCACCTTGATCTCAGAATTCCTGACCTTAGTAGCCTTGAGAAGTAAGTATATGTTGTGTATAAGATACCCAGTTTATAGTATTTTCTTAGCCTATTTGCACGGTTATAAGACTTTAAATGTATGTGGGGGAAAAATCCCTGAAAATTACCAAAGATGTGACAATCTATTCTATTTAAAATATAATATTCTGGGCTGGGGCTGTGGCTCTGCAGTAGCATACTTGCCTGGCATGTGTGAGGCACTGGGTTCGATTCTCAGCACCACGTATAAATAAATAAAATAAAGGTCTATCAACAACTAATATATATATATATATATATATTTTTTTTACAAAACGTAATATTCTAAGAGTTTATACTGAAAATTGAACAATAGGGTGCCAACACAATGACATCCACGTGTGAAGAAAGAGTGTTTAATGACATGGTGATTTTACATAATAAATGAACTAAAGCTTTTGTGCCATATTGACAGCCGTGGGCACTTCATACATTCTAATATGATTGGTTCTTATAATTTTGATTGGAAAAATTGAACACAACAGGCAAGTAAACAAAGTATTTCCAGAACAATGCAGTCATTACAAATCACCTTCAGGACATCAGGGAATTAAAAACCTTTCATTTATAAAATCACATTTTCCTGGTAACTTTGATAGGTTGTGTTTTGATTTTTCATTAGGAAAAATGACAACGAATGATTAGCTCTTGCAATGGGCTGGTGTAAATGGAATGGATTTGTCTCAAGAGAATGTTTGTCAGGTTTTAAAGATAAATTACCAAGCCTATCCAAGGAATCACCTTTGTCAGAAATGATAAAATATAACAATGAGTAATCAATATCAGGATTCCATTAACTTCATTCAAATTATTGACCATGTGACTTAAAAGTTGACCCCACCTTTGGGGAAATAATAAGCTGACATAATACATACTTTTACTATGTATATTTTTTTTCTTTTTCCAATGACTTAGAATGTCAGTGGTGAAAACTTCAGCATAAACCTTAATTACTTACCAAGCCATATTTGATCTTATTATAGCCAAGGCTTAGGAAGGATAAAAGCCACCATTTATTGATACCTATTGTGTAGAAAGGACTTGACACCCATGATTGAATTTAATCCTTGAAACAGCCTGTGATATTGGAGCCATTATCCTAGTCTTACAGATGAAGACAATCAGGTTAAATAACTAATTCAAGATCACACAGCCAGGAGCCCAGAAAAAGACACAAGCCCATATCTAAATGACTTCAAAATCCATGGTCCTCTCCATTACTCTATGTAGGCTTTAAAGTCAGGAGTCCTGGATTTTCAAGCATAGTGAAAATGCAGATGCTTGAATCAGACAGATGTAGGTTTACATGCACTCTGTGCCACTTGGTGCTGACTTTTATGCTTTTCACCATGTTTGTGAGATTGAAATACAATTATAGAGAGTTTGAACCTTGTTAGCTGATATTTAAGATATAAAAGCTAGAACTATCCTGAGGGACCCAAATGTTTGATTCCTTCTTATTTTAGTAACAAATTATCTAGAACATGTTAGCAAACCCCATGGCCAAATCAGATTACCTATGAGAAACATTTTATCCAGATATTGATTTTAGAGATATCATTTTATACAGGATGTCAAACTGAATGACTTATTTTCCTCACATTTGTGATTTTTTACTTCAGTCTTTTCGGGAATTCAGTTTGGGTTAATAAGCAAGATTTAACCTACCATGCTACTTTTGCATTTCATTCAGGTCTTATGCTTGGTGGAGACTCAGGGTCCCTGAGAACCGACATGGAAAGAACAGAGATTCAAAACTTACTCTCTTCACCTGAATTGATCAACAACAGCAACAACATCAACCACCATATTAGATAGCATTTATTGTGACCTCAGGATGGGTCACACACTGTGCTCAGCATTTTGCTACATTGGCTTCTTAAGAATAGGGACAAAATTTATACCACTTATAATTTGTAGCACTTTACTCTGAAAATAGTGAGCTTATGTAGCCAAAGCAGAGATTAAACAAAGCCCATTCTTCCTCAGTGGCTAAACTCAACCGCTACATAATTTGGGAGAAATTATAAGCAGCATATCAAATATTATTTAGATTTGGATCTTGCTAAGATTTATCTTTCCTATTGTGATCTTATCCTATTTGGTGCTCACAAATACCCTGTCAAGTAGGGATGACTATCCACATCTGGCAGATGAGGAGTCTGAGATTCCCAGATCTAAACGTCATTCACATAATATATCTGTCACCTACCTGGCAATGGAAAGATACTCAGAAGTGAAAATTCTCCCTTACAAACAAATCTATTTCTTCCTTCCACCTCCCTCCTGAAAAAGAAAATGCACACACTCTACAAGAAACATTGTTTGGTACACACTTTTATAAAGCTATACATTGTAATTATGAAAGGGAGATTGTCATCAACTTGAATCATACTAAAAATGCTCATCTTTTTTTAAACGGAAAAAGAGGAATAAATACTCATTAACACTGAAGGCCTTAGAACTTAAATTCTACTTTGAGATAGAAAATTGGTATGAAAAAAAGTCTGCATTAGTTGTCCCCATGTACTCTTCCCGCCCTGCTTCATTAAAAATAATTTATACAAGTAATCATCTTCAAAGCCAAAAGTGATTTTAGAGGAAACTTCAATCACTTACCCTTTAGATTTTAAAAAGCATCAAGCCTTACCAAACATGTAGCTAAGTGTTAACTCTCCTCTTTGACGGTACATACACTGCTTTTTGACCTCCTGGAAGGTCTGCAGAGGACTGAGGGGCCAGGATGGAGGCATGAAAAGTGATTTTGCTTTTCATATTGACCTGAAGGCATTTTGTGTGTGTATACAGATGTTTGCACACATGTATGTGTATGCATGTATACACATGTAGAGAGGTGTATAAATAGAAAGATGTTGGATCACAGCAAAACACTGAAAAACTAGCTCCTTTCATGCAATCCTTCCTTCTGGGCTGATATAACTTCTTTCAAGATGTTACTATACTTGTTCAGTTTAAAACAACTGAATATTTCTTTAGAACTTCACAAATGTACTGACCATTCCTCGGTTAACATCAACATTAGTGTTTTTTACCCAATTAAGTCCAATGTGCCAGTATTTTCTCCAGGAAAACTTGAGGACAATTATGACCATTGCTAACCACAAGAGAAAAAGCTGTATCAACTAGAATAACCTAATCTTCATAATATTTAGCACATACCTTTTTGCATGGGCCAGAAACCACCCTGAAGGCCTTATATCCACCCATTATAAGATTGAGAGGTCAGTAATATTATTATTAATAACTTTGTTATGATGATATTTATACATGAAATCTAAAAAGTCAATTTGGTGGTAACAACCATTCTACTCTCTGCTTCCCAACTGGAGGGCATGTCTAGTGGTTGAGAGATGCCAACAGACGGGGGTGCACATAAGCACGGGACATGAGGAACAGCCTGAGCATGGGTGGACAATGTGTCTCCACTAAAGGAAAGAATAATCTCTTTAATATGAAAGGAAGACCAATGGTTTATTGATTTATTTACTGCCTCCTCCTTTTTTCTCTCTTTGTACATAGTGAAGTTGTTTTGGTAGAAGTTGCTTAGTAGAATTTTTTTTGGGGGGGGGGCAGGGGTTCTGGTGACTAAACTCAGAAGCATGCTATCAGTGAGAAGCATCCTCAGCCCTTTTTATTTTTATTTAGTTTATTCGTTTATTTTTTGAGACAGGGTCTAAGTTGCAGACCTCACTAAGTTCCTGAGGCTGACCTTGAACTTGTCATGCTTCTGCTTCCCAAGTTGCTGGGATAAGAGCCATGTGCCACAATGCCAGGCTGAAACTTGTAGAACGTAAGACTTAGGTGGAACTTGAGAACCTTAATCCTGCCTTATGCCTCTCACAAATATCAGTAAGTCAATAAATAATTATGTACTTCTGGTCAATGAGTGTATGAAATGGAGGTGGTCAGCCATGGCCTTAGGATCAAACAGATCCAGACCAAATTCTAATGCTGCCACATTTTGCCTGTGAACTTAGGTAAATGCCATACTAAGTATCTTTTTCACCATAGTTCTCTTACCTGTGAAATTGAGGTAATAGTATGGCACACCTCAGGAGGAGGATAGAATTAAATGCAACAATGTATGTGGAGTGCTTAGCATTTTACAATAAATATTAGTTGTCTATTTTAGTAATTAAGTTGTTTAAAATAGATTGCTCCTAGTAAGTTACTGTTCAGAAAAAAATATTTCTTCACCTAATATGACCTTGAATGCCCCTGGATGAAAATATTTAGAAAACTCAATGAAGGACAGTCACACTTACAGTGGATCATGGAACTTAAGTAGCCAGAGTGAGTTTAAGCATGATGTGGTCACAGCTGTGCTTTATTTACCTTATTTACTTAGGGAATTCTCTGGGATGCACTCCTGTTTTGTCAGCTGAGTGTTCATAGAGGCTGCCCTCATGACCAAGTGGCTGTTAGTCCTCAGCCGACCCTCTTTGCATGTGCCCATCCCATGTAGAAAAAGGCTACAGAAACCCTAAATTTCATGTTTGTGTCCCACAGTGTCCAAAACGAGATCACCATCTAAGATTCGAAGATTGACTTTCCTTGTGATTAAACCACAACCCAACTAAAACCAACCAATATGCCCAGGGTAAACCATGGAAGTAGCAGTTGGCTTAGGCCAAGATTAACTGAATAAAAATAGTTGAACAGGTGGAGTATGATTGACCCACTTGCTCCTATGAGGGGCCTTGCCTTAGAAATGGAGGTAAGTTTTTAAGAACTTTGAATTCTCTGTTTAGAGACAAGATAGAGAGGGAGAGACACAAACAGAGGACTTTGTGAATTCAGGTATATGAATGAAGCATTGGGAGGAAAATATTCCTCAAGTAGATTTTCATATTTCTATGTTAATTTAACATTTTCCAGACATACACATTGAGTTCTCACCTTTATAGACACAGTATGCACTTTCAGCTTGATATCAAGCATTCCAGCCAAACTAATCCCTGTACTCAAGCACAACCATTAATGAGCTGCAAGATTTTCAATAAGTCACATCTGTTCCCTGGGCATCAAAGTTGTCCAGTTAAAAAAAAAAAAAAAGAAAAGAAAAGGCTTGGGGCTGGGGCTAGGACTCAGGGGTAGCACACCTGCCTAGCTTGTATGAGGCACTGAGTTTGTTTCTCAGCACCACATATAAATAAATAAATAAGTAAAAAGGTCTATCAACAACTAAAAAAATAAAAATTGAAGTTAAAAAAAAAAAAAAGGAGTCTGAGGGAGATGAACTCAAAATTCCCATTAGTTCCATGGGTCTCCAAGAACACAATGCATTTCCTTTATAAATGGGGAAGATATCTGTTAAGCAATCTCCCAACTTCTGTTCTGAAAATTACACAAAATAACCCAAGCTCCTTTTATCTTTCATCACTAGGACTATTTTCTATCCCTTTAATCTTTTTGTTGATATTCTATGGACCTTCTTCAGTTTCTCCACATTCCATTCTTTATATGAAATTTCTATCAAAAAAAGTCAGAGATATCAATAATGTTTCCTAAGTAAGAAGTGATCCATTTCTCCATTCAAAAAAGGTCATTGTGAATTTTGCCTTTGTGTTTAGGAATATTATTTTTATTTAAAATTCCCATCTTAGATGATTTTGCACGGAGTTTAAAATACACTGTTTTGTTTTCAATTTAAGGTCATTTTTATTTGTTGTAAACTTTAAATTCAATAAAATATACAATGCTCATTATCCACTCACTAAATTAACCTGTGTAACTCAAATTGTTAACAAAAACCCAGAAACTTCACATCATTCCAGAATGTCCTCATGTTCCTTCCAAGTCAATCATTACTCCTGTGATCCAAAAGAACAATTATTCTAATTTTTCCCAACATAGATTAAATTTGCCAGTTGTAGAATTTCATCTAAATAAAATTAAGCAATATGTGCTTGTTTATATGGAAAGGCTACCTTTGTCCGAATTCAATTGAATGTTTGTGTCCTGAAACTTATGCATTGACTACTCAGTTCTACAGTTTTATATGCTTATTATTTAGCCAATAAAATACTGTATTTCTGAAGTCTTAAAGTCAGTTAGTTGACCTTCCGGCTTCCATGTTGTTTTCAGGTATGTTTTGGGTCTGAGTCCCTTTTTGCCTTGACATATAAACTGTAAAATGTGCAGGTTGATGACAAAGAACAAATTCTGGTTAGGATTGCTTTGAATGTACAGATACATTTTCAAAGAACTAACATTTTATCAGTGTTTATCCTGAGATTTAACCTTTCATTATTTAAAAACAAAACATAAACTAAAGGCTTGTAGTTTCTCTCCTGGCTTTTTTGCATAAAGAAGAAAGCCAAGATTTAAAATAGAAGTACTAGCTTTTGGAAGAGAGGAAAAAAAATAAATTAAGAAGGCTTTAGGAATTTTCAACTAAGAAATAAGGATGTGAAATTAAAAAAAAATAATTATCTCAATAAATTCACAGTAATTTTCAAGACGTAGCTATTAGATTTACACCAAAATAAAATAAGAATGCTAAAGAGGATCACTAGGACACATTCTTGAAATTGATCAAGCATGCTCAAAGGAAACTGGTGATACATGGCATTTGAGAGCCATGAAATAGGGAGTTAGCAAGGGCTTGTCCTATTTAACTCATTTTGTCTATTAAACTCACTCAACAGAGGTGTCTTAATTGAAACTAAAGCAACAGGTGCAGTATTTTCTCAGATCACACAGCTAACGCAGTTTAGTATAGTAAGAATATTTCAGATTTATACTGAATCTTTTTTTTTTAGAATAGCTAAGTTATTGGGGTTACCAACAAGTGCTGATATTCAATAAGAGAGTGGCGAGTTTCAAAACAAGAGATGACGAATGAATATATGTTGAGAGCCACGGCCATGTCAAGATGGTGCCTGGCATTTTGCCAGAAGGAACTGTTCCTGGTGTCTGCTATTTTTGAGCTCTCCCGGAGTTCCTAGAGAGTTCGCGTGGGTTGGTTGAGTTCCGGTTGGGCTCTAGCGGAGTTCCTAGAGAGTTCACATGGGTGGAGTTTGCAGGTTGAGTTCCGGTTGAGTGCTTGCAAAATGCCCAAAGTTCCAGTGGAGCTCTAGGGGAGTTCCTGGAGAGTTCGTGAGTGGGGCGCATGGCGTGGGTTCAAAAAATAAAGTTCATTCCTGCTTGAATCTTCAAGTGGCTCGTGATTTGTGCCCAGCCAGACTGGGGCAAATATTAATAGTATTTCATTTAATTCTCATAACAACCTTATGGGTTGGTTTCTATAACTAGCCCTAGCTTAAAAATTACAAAATGCAATCATCAGGAAGTTCAATTATCTTAGGCAACAAACCCACACACCAGATAAGTGAAACTCTGATTCACACTCAAGACTAATTTCAGAACCTAAGCATCCAAACCACGATGCATATGAAGTCAGTCATGGCAAAGTGCACAGAATGAGGGACAAACTGATGTGAAACAAGGTCTTGCAGTGTAGACAGAACCAAGTTTGTTATGGCCTGGTAGGGTTTCTTAAGAGCAGCCCCACCCCCACCCCCAGAGCAATAGCAAAAAAAATTATTTAACGGGTTTATGCAGATGTGGATAAGGAGAGGCAGGATAAAGTGAAAAGACTTGAGATGGTCCAGAGGGCTGGGAAAAACACACACACACACACACACACACCAATAAGGAACCTATGGCATTAATCTAGGAAAAAAATTAGGACAACAGCTATGCTTGAAACAAGGATAAATAGATGAATTTTAGAGCTTTTTAGCAAGGAGCCCAAGAAACAAACATGTGCATGGGATGAAGTATAAGGAGCCCCCAGCACAATAATAGAGTATCTATCGAGACACTGCACTGGATGCACAGGAGGAAGGGAAATCATTGAACTAAATCCAGAAAGTCAGATAGGTTAGTATACAGGTTGAGTAGAGTGCTGCTGGGTTGGTGTGGTAAGGTGGATACAGCTTTCAGTCTGAATCTCAGGTTTGCAGTTCACTTCCCAGGTAACTTGGGCAAGGTATCCGCCCTTATTGAAACACCGTTTCTCATGTAAAACTCAGTGTCTAAGTGACTAGTAACTCAGGATGGTTTGAGAGAAAATAACATCATGTGTGTGAAGGAGCTACACAGTTCCGTACCTGTGGGAAAGAAGAAATACTCTCTGTAGAGTTACCAATGTGGCATGTTGTAGTGGTCTTTTCCCCACAATTCATCCCCAATACTACAAATACTCAAATTACTGAAGCCGAGACATAATTTTGACCTTTGAAGCTAAATGGGAAAATATTTTCACCAACTACTAGTTAGTCCAGAAAAAAAATTTCTGTTGTATATTTAATATGATTCCAATGAGGTAAACAGTTCACATGACTGTTTCCTTTTAAACTTTCAGTCTCAATATGTATATAACTGGCATTTATTAAAATATTTTGTTGGCGATGTTTAAAGTATAAAATAAAAATTTGGTATAATCTAAAGAAATTGTTCATTTCATGCTGTATAATCAGGATTTGGTAATGAAAAAAGGAAATGTATAACTAGTTTTTGTTGGTCAAAAATATTCTTTAATATCATAGCATTAAATTACAGAGTTACCATTATTAGTCATATTTATTCATGAGAGGTAATTTGATATCTTACAAAATAAGCCAATACATAGTGTAACCTCTTGCAGTCTAATTTTTCATGGATGAGCTCTTGCATACTTAATATCCTTGGAGGTTATATTTTAACATAGTCTAATTACCACTTTCCCTTTATTTCTATTCAGTTTGACACAGCCACTTTGCCTAAAATAATTTAATATTCTTATGAATGAAAGTGTTAGCCTGTAACATCAATTGCCTTTGTTTATGCCAGCAACTCCAGTGAATTATTAACATACCAGAATGTGAGTACAAATGGCCCTCAGAGGGAAGGGAAAAAAATACTTGTCACAAATTTTAGATGGTTTCTGAAGATTTTTAAACATTTCTACTTAGAATACCACACATTGGTACTACACATCTCCGCCTTTGGTAGTCTAATTGTTATGAATAAGGAAGAACATCTTCCTCCTATTGCATCCTTGCCCATCCTGCCAGGGCAACATGCTGTCTTACTGGTCCCCAGTGCTGTGGGTGAGATCAGAAGATGGTTGAGGAAACATCATGAGGCATTTCTACAGACTGTGAGTCCTCTACTCATGCCCACAGGCACCTGGCCTTGTCACAGGGCCAAACACAATTCCTGGAGGTGGACACTTATGCCTGAATCCTGATAGCAGGTGTGCTGTGTTGACTGAGTTACCATCCTTTCCCTTACATTCATCTTTTTTTTTTTTTTCGATTTCTACAACAGTTCATAATAGTTCCTTCCTCATGAGGTTGTCAGAGCACGAGAGTGAAATGAGATCATCCTTGTCAAATAATTATTTCAGTCTGGCATGTCATAATGGTTAGAGTTCAAAGGCTATCATTTATAACTATTAGTATTGGTCTACATTTTATACAATTATCCATTTACTCCCATATCAATGATAGTCTTTGCACCCATTAAGGAAAGTCATTTAATAAGAGAGATGCTAAAAAATATATTTAGGTTACCAAACTGAGACTTTCCAAAAGATCAGTACACTTTAATATCATTTAAAATACTTGTTCCTGCTTTTTCTGGGTTTTAGATCTGATCCTAGTATCAGCAGATTATAAAATGACATATTAAAATGGCAAGATATATTTGTATTAATAAATTGAAAGGGGCTGGGGATGTAGCTCAATGGTAGAATGCTTGTCTAGAATGTGGGAGGCCCTGGATTCAATCCCCAGTACCTACAAGAGGAAGAGGAGGAAGAGGAGAAAATATTGGGAGCAATATAAAAAGCACAGAAAAGAAAAAAGTGAAATAAAAATGTGATCATAGTTACTACCTTTAATTTCATAGTTATTTGCCTTATGGGGGGGGGACTGTTATCTGTAATAGTCCAAAATCACAAGAAATAACTATTCACAAGATCATGATAGTGAAACATCAAAAATATATAATGGACATTTATCATTTAATTCTCAGGATGCTATTATCAATGTATTTTCCTTGTTTGAGGGAAGTTTCAACTTTTGGCAGAAGTGGGTAACCCTTAGAGGGGCCAGAAGCATATTAACTTGCAGATTTTATGTTTTGGTCTCCATCATTGTATACATTTTCTGTTAAATATGGACATTAGTGCCACTTATACAAAATGACCTCATTGTGTTATTGCAAGAGAACATTGTTGCAATCTTTAATGTCTTCAGAAAGCAACCCTAATAAAATAAATCAAAATACACATTTCTTCTTCTCATAGCTAGATTCTAATCTGCTCATGTTCTGACTTTAATCCAGGATTTTCAAATGTGATTGATGGTGCATCTGAACAGTTTGGAAAAGGATAATCAACCACAGAGTCCAACTTGATGCTGACTTGATTTGCAAAGCCGAAACATTTAATGTGCTTTGATTTATATTTGCTGAAAGGCTTAAGATTGTTTTGTGTATGTATCGTCTCTTATAAGCTTAATTTTCTTCACTTTAAACATTTGTTTACGAGGTACACTCCTGATTTTCCATCTAATCTTTAGGAAGATTTCTTAGTATCAGGTAAGGATGGCGATCATCTCATGCCATCACTGAATACATGGTTCTCAACAACAAAAACTATGTATATTACTAGCATTAATTATATAAATATGGTTTATGGGTGACCATAAATCAAATCTTGTGATCACCGAAATAGAATTAATGATTCATTGAAAGACTGTTCTGACACTCAATGCAGGGGTTTCTAGACTTTCTACGAAAAAGAACTGATTATGATATACTTGTCACATAATATAGGGGTGGGGACAGTAGAAGATTTAAGCTTATTTGGAGGGGTTCAATTAAAGACAGCAGAATGTCATATGTTGGAATATTATAATTACAATTTCAAACTCTTCTATCTTGCTCTCAGCACATTCATTACACAGTAATTGAGAAATCCGG